AAAAAAAAAAAAAAAAAAAAAAAGACCAAAACCATCTGTTCTATTGCATAAATTGATCATTTGCTTGAAGAAATTGCTAACTTGTAAGAAATGACCCAGCCTGGGTTGTTTGCTGGACAGGAAATGACAATCACAATAAGCAGGTCTCTTTCTCTCTTGCTCACTCCCTCTCTTTTCCCTGCTGTTGGTGAATCACCAGTTCCCTGGGGAATTTTGGCAGATTCTCAGCCTGGCTGCAGATGACGTTCCGGATCTGTTTATTCAGGTGGAGATGGGATAAAAAAACAAGAGCAGCCCAATGACGGGATAAACAGCCTCAGCTGGGCAGGGTCAACCCCTCTGAAGGCAGGATTGGGCTGTGTCAACCAACCTCCTAACCCGTTCACTTCCTTTGGGGTCACTCTTCCCTTGAGGTCGTCCATTAACCATTTCCATTAACTACTTGCAAAGAAGACCTGTCCTGTCTTCTCCCATTAGTACTGTCCCCACAACACTACACTGCATGGCCCCAGGGACCTTGCTAAAGATAATCCCTCTTGGTCCTCTCACCCGTCAGCTGTGCCCGCTGAGCTGGAAGCCCTCTGTCTAAAATGAAGAGATCTAGACCATCAAAAGCCAGTCACCACTGTTCTGTGGAGTGAACCAACCCATCCCTTACATCCCTGGTCATTAGGATCCATTCCAAACCATCAGAACGTCCTATATTTCATTTTAAGATGCACAAATTAAAAAAAAAAAACAGTAACAATGAATAAACCTCCTAAGGAAATACACATTGTTGAGTGAAAGGCAATCATCCAAAGAGACAACCTACTGTATGATTCCAAATGTACGACAGATCTATGAAGACAACAGAAAGATCAGTGGCTGCTGGGGGAAGAAGGGAGGGAAGGGTGAGCAGATGGAGCGTGGAGGAGTTTTATGGCAGTAACACTATTGTTTGTATGATACTGAAATTTTGAATGTATGTTACTATACATTTGTCAAAACCCATGGAATGTTCAACACCAAGAATGAATGCTAATGTAAACTATGGACTTCAGTGAGTAATAGCGTGTCAATACTGACTCATCAATTATAACAAATGTACCCCAGGAAGACAATATATTATAATAATAGGAGTTGGGGGGGGAGGGTATTTGGGAACTCTCTGTACTTTCCACTTAACTTTTCTGTAAACTCGAAATTGCTCCAAAAGTCTACTAATTAAAAACAAAACAAAACCTCCTAAAATATTCAGTGGTCCTGAAGTCTTGACATGGGTAGAATGGAGGCTGCACATGGGCTGGAATTTTTTATCTGTCTTATTTACTGTTATGTCCTTAGCACCAACCATGCTTAGAACATAAAAGGTACTCAAATTAACATGTGTTGAATAAACAGATGAACTAGGACTTTTTAGTTCAATCTCCTACATTCACCGCAACAAAGTTAAAGCAAGGAATGTTATTCAGGAAAAAAAAAAAAACCACTCTGAGGCAGGATCAACCACCCAATTAAAAATTTTTGAAAGGAAAAAATTAAAGGTATAATGTACAGTTAAGTTTTTTTTCTAGGCAGAGAAGCTGACAGACTTATTTTAAATGTCAAGCAGAATGGACCTTCAAACAGAAAGGATTTTGGAGTGACTTATGCATTTCCCATACTCAGTTTAACCCCAAACACCAGCATTCACTAAATCAGGTTGGCAATGGGGAGACAACCATCCTTGTCCTAAGCTAGTTAACAACCCCTCCCTTGCTCCACCCTAGTTACAGCTCTGCCAGAGAGCAGTGCGAGGAGCAGCCTGAGGACCTGGTCTGCACACAGCCTCCACATACTTCCTCTGAGAGCTCCAACCAGACACCACTGACCGAACAAGGCTGTGTAAGCCACATCTGGACTGCCATCCCCAGAGAGAAAAGCTGTGCCATCCTAACACTGGCAGCGACCTCCAAGGACTTGAAAAGTCAGTTCCGTGTCTATAAGGAGATAATCTGTCCTGGCAACCAGCAGGGCAGAGTGGCACCAAGCTGGGCCAGGAGAGGAAAAGAGCCACTTCCTCCAGAGTTCCCATCCACATATGGCTACCTCTGGGTCATAAAACCCAACACAGCTACCTGATTGATTACATCTCTTGGCTTTATTTTCCCTTAAATGTATTAGCACAACCCTTTCTTTCCCCCCTCCTTTTGTTCCCCTTTCCCTGGCACCCCCTACCCTACAAACCCCAGCATACTGGTGGTGTTCCCTCCACAGCTCTCAGCCCTCACAGAAGATGGGACCCGGCCTGGAAGTCAGCAGAGCACCAGGCTCCAAGCTGTGTCATCTGGAGCCACCAACCCACCCAGGGTGCTGCACAGTGGACGGGACTCCTCTGATTTCTCCTGAGAACAGCTAGGTGTATTCTCATTACAATTGTCAAGGTGGGTCTGTCCCTGCCTGTTCAGCTCTGCCCCTTGAGGGGAAGAGGAAAGAAAGCCAGGACACAGAACAATGAGTGAGTAGCATGGATTCGCCCAGACTTGAGGGGCTGAGCTACTGTTTCTGGCCAAGAAAACTGGAAAAGGTGGAGAAATGGCAATAATCTTAGAGATGAGAGTAACCCTTAAGGCCACAGATGAACCTCAGAAATTTTTCTTTTCTTTTTTTTTGAGAAAGAGTCTCACTCTGTCCCCTTGGGTAGAATGCTGTGGTGTTGTTTGTTGCTCAAAGCAACCTTAAACTCTTGGGCTCAAGCTTCCAAGTAGTTGGGACTACAGGCACCCACCACAAAGCCTGACTAGTTTTTCTATTTTTAGTAGAGATGGGGTCTTGCTCTTGCTCAGGGTGGTCTCCACCTGAGCTCAAATAATCCACCTGACTTGGCCTCTGAAAATGCTAGGATTACAGGTGTGAGCGACACCATGCCCAGCAGACCCCAGAAATTTTTAACAAATGAGTGTCCATAGTACTTCTCTTGGAAGGTGTGAAGAAGCTGCCATGAGTGGTTTTCCTCCAAGGAAGGCCCCATACCAGATAGATAAGGTTAGGTGGGAAGGCCCTATACCAGAGAGGGTTGGGTGGGAAGGTCCCACCCCCAAGAGTGTGAAATTATAGTGCTACTGTGTGTCACTGAGCAAGGCCTTCTCCTCACCAGGTTCCCTGCTTCCCTTTAGCAGCTGGGGCAGGGGTCACCCAGGAGTCCAGGCTCTGTCATTAGCTCTTGTGGTCTCTGTTCCTCTGACCTCACCAAGCAGGACCTGAATAAACAAAACCACTGGAAGAAAGAAGATGGTGACCTCACTCAAAATTCCCAAAGGGAACACAAGTTCCTTTTGGTGGCTGCCTTTCCATTTCAGCCTTAGGTGTGAAGCAGTCTGCAGTATTCTCACACCCAGAAGACTGTCCACACCACCAAGCTAAACCAAAAAGCAGGGTATGCAGCTCATTACGTCACCTGACTGCCATTCTCTAAAACACATAGGTAGAAAAAAAGGGAAGAAATACTATATGTTGCTTTCAGACATAGTATGATGAAAATGGAATATTCCCCCTTCCTCTATTTTGGGTATTATTTTAAGGTGCTTGCCAATAATGTGAATATTTCATATTTACAAAGCAGTTAACGCAAACTTAAGAGGCTGAACTTTGGAACTAATCTTTAAGTGTAGAAAGACCTCAGTTGCATGGTGGAGAGCTTTCTGGGGGTGGGGACAGCTCGGGGACAGCTCAGGGGCAGCCAAGGCAGTTCCATCACCCCTTCGCCACACATAAATGAGGATCTTCTCGGCAGAGTCTTTGCTTGAACCCCCCTGCACCCCAATACTCTCTCAGGACACAAGCCTGCTCCAGGTAGTGAAAACTTCAACAGGCCTTTGTAGCTGGAGCCTGGAATGGAGCCCTGGGGGCTTCTGTGCCTCCAGGAAATGGTTCCAGCGCTGGTTGTCAACTGTGCCAGGGCAGTGAGTCTCCCAGGGAGCTTCCCCTTGCGGCTCAGCTATGGAGGAGGCTCACCACACGTGCGTTTTCTTACTCAACAGAAAGGGCTACAGTAGGAAGAGCAGTGACTGTGACAGCAAGGATAGCAGTAACATCACATTCTGTCAGAGATCCCCAGGCACCAGGCTCTGGCTTACCCCTTCCCTCATTATTCCTAGTGACAACCCCAGGGGTGGCCACTGCTACCATCCCCACTCCACATATGGGGACGCTGAGGCCAACTTACTTGCTGCAGGATGCAGCAGAAAGTAGGCTATGACTGGAGCCCAGAACGTGAACCCACACCCTCACTCCCACTTGGGCTGCCTCATGACAAAAGCAGGCAAGGTGTCCCTGGCAAGGAGAGCTTCTTTGGACAGGACCCTCACCAGCCCCCACATCTTCTCTGCATCTCCTGGGGAGAGGTGTCTCTGGTGCTGGGCCCTCTGTGATTAGAGCAGAGGTAAGACCTAACTCTGCACATGCAGAGGGACAAATACTGACACAACCCACTGCACATGCCCCTGCCCCTGCCACACTCACACGTGGGCTTCCCAGGTCCTGACAGTCCACGGCATGTCAAAACACAGTGGCTGCAGGGCCCAGCCAGACTACTTCTATTTATATTTATAATGATCAGATTGGTCAGCTTCCCCCAGTGGCTCTTATTTCCTCATGCAGTAAGTATAACAGTGCAGAACTGGGCACTCTGAAGAGGACAGGAGAAACCTGTCCACTCATCGCAGTGTCCACCCCCAGAGAAGGCACCTCCTAACCCAGATTCACAGGGAATAAGCCCCTGGTCTACAGTCACCCAGCTAACTAGAATAGGACCCCAGGTATCCTGACTCCAGGCTGTGTAGCTCTCTAAAGTAACAGAGGCAAGAGAAGACAGCCTGTGGCCTAGATAAGAGAGAGAAGTGTGGGCGCTAGGAAGCTGAAGTTCCCTCGGCGGCCATGAATGGGCCACTCACCTCTGCCAGCCACTGGCACATTCCCCTAGATTCATATGCCAGCTTCCCCACAGCTCTGCATTTCTAAGCAAAGAAGGAAGTGGTTTCAGCACTTGGCTGTAGCCTCCAAGACAAAATCCTCCCCTCTCTGGGGATTGATACCACTGATGTGCCTTTAAAAATAAAACCAGGCCTGCTTCCTGCCCCATCTGAAAGACTTTGATCTCTCAATCATATGATTTAAGATATCTCTTACCAAGCAATTTCCCAAGCCTTCAGCATATGATCTGACTGCACTTTGGGAGGGGTAAGGATGTGGATGGGTGGGATAAAGAAGTCGGCCTTTGCTGCAGCCTTTCTTATCCACCCCAAAGATAAGGCCTGCTGCAACATCAAAGAGGGACCGTCTCTAGCACCACTGCTCTGTGCCCCACCACCACCCATCCCCTCACCTTGTCTGTTCTAGGTTCCTATAACAGCCAATATCTGCTCTCTTTCTTCTTCGTTTCAGGCTTTTAAAAACATGTCCTCGCAGACTTACACACAAAATGTGAAATTACAAAACTTCTAGGAAAAAAAATAAAAGAGAAAATGTTTGAGATCTAGGTCTAGGCCAAGTTCATAGACCTTACATTAAAAGCACGATCCGGCTCGGCGCCTGTGGCTCAAGCAGCTAAGGCGCCAGCCACATACACCTAAGGTGGCGGGTTCGAATCCCCAGCCCGGGCCCGCCAAACAACAATGATGGCTGCAACCAAACAAATGGCCAGGCGTTGTGGAGGGCGCCTGTAGTCCCAGCTACTTGGGAGGCTGAGGCAGGAGACTCGCTTGAGCCCAGGAGTTGGAGGTTGCTGTGAGCATGATGCCATGGCACTCTACCCAGGGGGATAGCTTGAGGCTCTGTCTCAAAAAAAAAAAAAAAAAGCACGATCCATAAAAGGAAACAGTCAGTACATTGGACTTTGTCAAAATTAAGAATGTTTGTCCTGTGAAACACCCAGCTAAGATGAAAACACAAGCTATAGACCAGGAGAAAATACTTTCAAACCACATGCCCATACCTAGAATGTATGAAGAACTCGCAACATTCAAGAGCCGAAACAAAACACATCAAAAATATAATTGAGTAAAAGGCAAAAGGAATGAACAGACATTTTACCAGACACTGACAGATGGCAAATAAGCACATGAAAAGATGCTCAACATCACTGACCTGCAGGGAAAGACAAATTAAAGTCACGAGGTATCACGACACATCAGAATGGCTACAATTTTACGATATAATGTCAAACTCTGGTCAGAAAGGGAGAAACTGGATCACCTATAAATTGCTGGAGGCATGTAAAATGCCATGACCATTCAGGGAGAGTGTGATAGCTTTTTAAAAAACTAAACAAGTAGCTACCATACAACCTGTCAATCACACCCCTGGATATTCATCCAAGACAATGAAAATTTATGTTCACACGAAAACCCACACATGAATGTTCATAGCAGCTTCATTCCTAACAACCCCAAACTGGAAACATCCTGATGTCCTTTGTTGGGTGAGTGACATATCCCGCAGCCTCCCAGGTGAATCTCCAGAGGATTACACTGAGGTTTTTTTTCACACAAAAGGTGATACCATACTATAGATTCCATTTATGTAACACTCCCTAATGGGAAAACACTGTAAACATGGAGAGATTAGAGGACGTGAAGACAGGAAGGAAATGAGTGTGGCTGGTCATAAAAGGGCAACATGAGAGCTCCTCGGGACAGAAACGTTCTGTATCCTGATGGTATCAACATCAATCCTGGTTAGGAAAAGTTCTGCAAGATGTTGCCACTGGGGGAAACCGATTTAAGGGTCTATGGGAGACTTCTCTGTATTAGTTTTTATTCACTACATATGAATCAACAATTATCCCAAAGTAAAATGTTTAACAAAAATGTCATGACATTCATGGTGAAATCAGACCTGCCTGGCGGAGCTTGGGTACAATTGGCCTTCCTGCTACTCTGCTGGGTCTCCAGCCTTCCTTCAAACCAGCAGAAACTTGCACAGAGTGACTCGGTTCTCAGAGCCCACTACCACGGCCTGCTGAGCTCTGGCATTTTGGAAATCTAGGGATGTGTGGGAACTATTTAGGAAGGGACAGAAGTGTTGCTGGAGACAAAAGTGTTGCTGATAAAGCTTAGCACAGATAATGTGGCCTTGCCTGGAATTAGGGGCTGTCATTCAGCCCTGTGTCCTCTCCCAGGAATACCTGGCCAAGGAGGAGGGCTGGCTGGACGTTCACATCCAGAAAGTGGCAGACATAGACTGCCAGTCACCAGATTCCCCACGTGTCGTCCTCAAATACCAGACTT